ACTGCACTAGCTAGCAAGCAGTGGCCCATGTATATTTGCTGTGGGGCAAGTAGCTTGATGCTGTATCAGTGTGGTAGCTCTGCTAGCTTTATATCACAAACATACATGGGCGCTGACATCCTTCTAGTTGCATCTCCAGCACATACTTTGGCTCAATATGAAATGAAACAAAATATTCCAACTGGTGTCAGGGATAGCAGTGGTTCAGGTGTGGGAGAGATTTAATCTCTTATTGTCCAAAGTGAGTACAGCAGTACCATGGCTGGATTTGGATTTTAGTCTGAGCATGAGGTGCTTCCCTTGCAGAAGCAGAAATACTTTCCTGGCTCTGAGGAGTAGATTCTGTGTCCTGATTCCATTCAGCTCTGCAATTTCTAATGGAATCCCATTAAGTCCGATCAAGCTAGGACACTGACCCAGATGCAAGTAAAGTGATGGAGTAGAATATAAAGGATCTTTTGATGGTCACATGGTTGTTTTTAGCTTCTCTTCGTTATACAAAATATTAGGACCTGACTTATTACCAGCTTGGAAAAATGAACCAATAGAACAAACAACAGGATTGAGAGTCGCTTTGTTTTGTTGAAGAAGTTAAAAGTGAGAAATAAAAAAAAAAAAATCCCCTTCTGGTATTTGGCCTCTAATCTTTGATTACTCATCCAACAAGAGGCCATACAGTGTATTTATTGCCACTCTTGAGACCTAGAGCATGCCTCTGTATTGACTTCTGTTTCTCCTAGAATAGTTAAATCAATAGACCAGATCAAAAATGGTATTTTTGGCCCTAAATTTAAGTCATAGAATATGGGAATTGCCAGACTGGATTAGATCTATGGTCTGGCTAGTTCAGTTTACTGCCTTTGAGGAAAGCAAAAGAAACCTCAAAGTAGGCAGACATGCAGGAATCTGCTCCTAATCCTACTTAATCTCAAGTAGTTAGAATCTGGTTTAAACTGTGAAGCATTAATATCCCTTTTTGTTTTAAATTCGGGTATCTTCTTAGAAACTTTTATGAAACTTGGCAAATTCCTGACCTTGGCAACCTGTTGCAACGAGTTCCACAGTCAAAATATATGTTGTGTATACATTCTTTAAGTTACTAATTTCTAGGTTCATTCACTGCCCCTTCATGAGCCACTGTGTCCTTATCTTTATTTAAGATAAAGAAAAACCCTATTTTTCATCCTCTCTTCAAAGAAGAGAGACTTGCCTTGCTTGTCATTATTTTCTTCTCTGACCCCTCACTAATTCTCCAGTATTTTTTTGAAGTGGCAACCAGCACTACACACTTAGAAGGTAATATTTGTCATGAAACTACAGCACTGATACACAATTTTCCATACTATTCTCCATCCCATTTCTTATTCATTTTAGCATCATATTTGACCACAGTTATACATTGAGCAGAGGTCTTCATTGAGTTATACACAATGGCATGCATGTCCCCTTCCTGCATTGATAATGTTTAGTTTAAAGATTATCCTCAATTAGCAACTCCGTGGCATATGTCAGTCTTAGGTTTCCTAAAGACTAGGAGAAATTATATAAAGTGAGTGTGTTGCTTTTATGAATTAGTGTGTAATTGGTTACATGAACTTTCTTTGTTAACAAGGAAACAGAGAAAGGTGCATAACAGTAAATAAATATTTTGTGCAGGGGGTGTTTGTGTGTGTCTGTTATATACATTAAAGGCCTCTTACTGGATTGGGGCTATAATGAAGTAACATTTCAATAAAGAAATACATACTTGATTGGCTGTTTATTCTGATTCATGCCAGCCCTACAATTTCTGCTGGAAAATAAGTTTTGTTTTGTTTTGTTTTTAACTCTAAGAATTGTAACTGTTAGTGTATTTATCTGATTGGGCCATTACCGCAGACTTGCTCCTAAGTAGATGGAAGGAGCTTTTTGAACATGCAGTCTGAATATTCATGGGCTCTCAGTTTAACCAAAAGAGACTGGTTAACATATTTAAGTTGTTTTTATATGTCTCTTATTATATTAATTTCTAAGGCTCTGAATCAAGGACTCCTATATTCATACAGGACTGAGAGATGCTTATTGCCCTGTTGCGGCAAGCCAAGAAAAATAGGAAAATTTAGGATGGAGATTCAAATTGCTGAGTCATTACTTCTCTCTTCATCTATGTCAGGGTGTCCTCCTCGCCCTCCTCCCTGTAACTCAGTGAGGTAGACAAAAGACAAAAGTTTCAACCTTAACTCTAAATTGCCTTTCTTTGTGGCTTTATATCAGATTCTGGATGTTACTTTAACACAGGTTTTCTGTAGTTTAATTTATTTTGGTTAGTAAAGAATATTCATCACTCATTTAATTCAAAGAGTATCTATTGATTCTTTTCTCCTCATTTGGTATTTTCTGACATTTTATAGCACTCAATATTGATTTATACAAAATCTGTAGTCTAAATGTCCAAAGGAGTGCTTTATTCACTTGTCATTTGCTGTTTTTCTTAACTAATAAATATAACAGCCATGTATATCCAATCTGTTAAGATCTTGTGGCTCTGCTTTCAAAGAAATGACAGTCTGGCACTAACAAATGAGGAATTCTCTCAGAAATTTAGAAGTTGCAAGATAGGCAAGATAGAGAAGCAAACTCCACCCTGATTGCTTAGTAGCAAAACAATGAAAGCAACTTCATGTAGTCAAAGGACATTTAGGTCAAGGTAGGAAAAACATAACTGATTCAACCTTTTGAATGTCAGGCACCCTGATATTCTTATGAGAAGTTTATTTACGGCTTGTCAACAGATAATCAATAAGTATAACACATGCAGCAATACATATGGAAGCAGGCACGTCTAAACAGTGTTAAGCTGCCATATTGCCAAGGGCAACACTTAATTCTTCACGATTCCAATACAACATAATTGACTAAAATACAGTAACACCTATCTATCACATGAGAGGTTGCCTACAGTGATTTGGGGCAGATTATTTTGAAAGTGCTTAAATGGCTTATGAGGCCAAGATCCCCTTTCAAAAGGGCTTTAGAAGCCTGAGAAGCCTAAAGGTCATTGAAAGTCAATAGGATGTTAGGCTCCTAAGATACTTATATGCTTTTGAAAATGTTACTCTTTATGTCCCACCGAGCAGCTCTCCATCTGGATCTAGTTCATATTGGAGACCTCTTTAAGTTCTTTTGCTCCATCCCCATATCAAACTGTTACAAGGATCTTTTCAATAGAAATATCAAGTCTTCTGCAGAAAAGAAGAGGGAGGGATATTAATATGGTTCTTTTTATGCCAATTACTAACAGTGAGCTTTTACAATGCTGGGCTATAGGTGAAGGAAAGGAAAAGTAGGCTGTTTGGTGCCTTTGGGAAAACAAAGAGGGTTATCACTGGCTATATGCTATAGTGTCCTAGGTGTCATCATCAGAGGTGGTGAAAAGAAATAAACTCACCTTTTAAGCCCTCCAAACTCTACAACACATGCTTTTCCTACTTGCTTGGAGTCTAGCTCCTGCACTCCAGTCCCTGCACTCTGCTAATAATATTCCTGGGCCATTTTATTAGACTTGTGTTCCACCTGGCCAAGGGGCCTGGTTTATTTCATGATTACCATGTTAATTGTGCCATAAATTGCAACATGCCACATGTTCAGTCAATTTATGGTGTCATGAAATGGCTAACCAGCCACAAACATGCTCTGCATATTATGTAGAACAACTTGTAGCTAGTTTATATGGCACCTTTAATTGAATGTGTAGTAAGTGTCTCAGACCTAGAACCACCCAGGTCCTCATACTGACAATCAACTGATTGTTGGCATAGGGCCTAGGACAACCATGGATCCCAAACTGTGCCTGGTACACATGGAGGGTGTAGTGCAGGGTACTTAAAAGTACCACAGTGTGGGGAACTGATGGGCTCCCACTGCTCCTGGCACCTTTGTAGACTTGCCCTGCATGCCACATGTAGCTGCAGGGTGCAGGACACAACCTCCTCCTTCCTTATCCCTGGGATTGGGATGGAGGAAACTGTTGTTCTTGAACCAGGACCTAGGGCTGCCTTCTGCCAGATTCTGATGCTCAGGTGTGACATAACACAACGTGCAATTTTTGGGCCGGGACACAATTCCTGAGATGTCTATCACATCATTATCTTACCATTTGCCAGGAGGCCCCAAACTCCTATTTTGAAGGCCTAAAAAGGGCAGTAGATAAAGCAGCACTTAGCAATCAGAGTAATCCCCTAGAAAAGGTGAGCACAAACCTGGGCATATCTGATCTATTTAAAGCCACTGTGCTTAAGCAAAAAGACACAGAACAGCTTTATGATTGGAAATCTAGCTCTAGTTCAGAAACTGTATCCTATTTGTAATTTCTGTAATGACTTGAAAAATTGAAATTCAGAGTTCAGCTGTTAAAATCACAAACCATGCTAAAATTTGTGTATTTTTCACTTTGTTTCTTTATGCCATTGCCAGTATGGTGGTATTATCATAACAAACTAGAAATATTGAAAAACCCAATATTTTGCTACATGCTTATGACCTAAGTGAAACTTTAGAATGGACCTTTGAAGCATCTTTTTTTACTGAGTTTACTGTTTTTGCACTAATATTTTTTCTCAATGGAATTGCTACGGAAACCTTTAAGATACAAAGCTGTAATATCTAGAGATGTATTAAGGAAGCATGGGCTAAATGAATGGGCTATAAGGTGGATAGAAAACTGGCTGAAGGATCAGGCTCAGAGGGTAGTAATCAATGGCTCTATGGCTAGTTGGCAGCCAGTATCAAGTGGAGTGCCCGAGGGGTTGGTCCTGTGGCAGGTTTTGTTCAGTGTCTTTATCAACAACCTGGAAGATGGCATCGAGTACATCCTCAGCAAGTTTGCAGATGACAGCAAGCTGGGATGAGTAGTAAATAACCTGGAGGATAGGGCTAGAATTCAGAGTGGAGGATTGGGCCAAAAGAAATCTCATGAAGTTCAATAAGCACAAGTGCACTTAGGACAGAACTGTCCCATGCACCAGTAACAGCTCTGCAGAAAAGGACCTGGGAGTTACAGTGGACAATAAGCTGAATATGAACTAAAGAGGATGGAGTGAGACTGTTCTCAGAGGTGGCAGATGAAAGAACAAGGAACAATAGTTTCAAGTTGCACCAAGGGCAGTTTAGATTAGATATTAGGAAGAATTTTCTCACTAGAAGGGTAGTAAAACATTGGAACAGGTTACCCAAGTGAGGGAATCTCCATCCTTGGTGGTTTTTAAGTTCTGGCTAGACAAAGCTTTGGGTGTTATGATCTAGTTGGGATGGTCCTGCCTTGAGCATGGAGTTGGACTAGATGACTTCCTGAGGTCCCTTCCAACACTGAGGGCTACAGGTTGTACAGAAGGGACAGAATAGGGAGGAAAGGGGGTGGGGTTGCTCTCTATATAAAGGAGCATTAGACATCTACCCTAATCAAAATGGGATCAGAGGAAGAGAAAGTTGAGGTATTGTGGGTTAGGATACATGGAGGTTGTGGGCAAAGGGACTTGGTGGTGGGGGTCTGCTACAGGCCCCCACATCGAGAGGAAAAGCTAGGCTTGGAATTCTTGAGGCAGTTCTCAGAGGCTTTACAGTCTAGGGACGTGGTTGTCATGGGGGACCTAAACTACCCTGATATCTGCTGGGAGGAACAGTCAGCCAAATCCAACTGTTCGTGTAGGTTCTTGACCTGCATGCAGGAACTTCACCTAACACAGGAGGTATACAGTCCCACTAGGGGGAATTCCTTACTGGACTTGGTGTTGGCTAGGGCAGGGACCTGATAGGGGAGCTGCAGATTCATGGTCACCTTAGGGACAGTGACCACCAATCAATCAAATTCACCATAGGGTGTATGGTGGGTAAGATAACTAGTAGGGTGGAAGTGCTTGACTTTAGGAAGGCTAACTTCAGTGTGTTTAGGAGTCTAGTCAACGACGCACTGCAGGAGAACAGTATTGGTGAGATGGGAGCCCAGGAAGGGTGGTCATTCCTAAAGGAAACGATCCTTTGAGCACAGAGGGAGACTATCCCAGTAGGAGGGAAAAGGGGGAAAGGAGCTGAAAAACTTCCTTCACTATTCAGGAGAGTCTAAGGGCAAAAAAGAAGGCATATAGGCAGTGGAAGCAGGGGGAAGCTACCAAGGAGGAGTATACCTACTTGGCCTGCACTTGCAGGGAGGCAGTTAGAAAGGCCAAAGCAACTACAGAGCTGAGGCTGGCAACACAAATTAAAGACAACAAAAAGTATTTTTTTAGGTATGTAGGGAGTAAAAGGAAGGCGCAGGGCACCACAGGACCCCTACTGAACAAGGAGGAGCAATTAGTGACAGAGAAGGGGGACAAGGCTGAGCTATTCAATGAGTTTTTTGCCTCAGTGTTCCTGAACAGAACTCAAGGTAAATCTCCTAATGGGTTCTTAGATGGGCATCAGAGGGACACCAGCCTACCAACTGTTGATGCTGATTTGGTGCAGAGTCACTTGGATGGACTGGATGTGTTCAAGTCAGCAGGCCCTGATGAGCTGCATCTTAGGGTACTGAAGGAATTGGCTGGTGTCATAGCAGAACCACTGGCACAGCTGTTTGAGCACTCATGGTGCTTGGGCCAGGTCCCAGAGGACTGGAAAAGGGCCAATGTGGTCCCCATTTTTAAGAAGGGGAGGAAAGAGGATCCGAGTAATTATAGGCCAGTCAGTCTCACCTCCATCCTTGGAAAGGTCTTTGAAAAGATTATGAAGGATCGGATTTATGGGAGTCCAGCGGGAAAAATAATGCGGCAGGGAAACCAGCATGGATTTGTAGCAGGTAGATCGTGCCTGACCAATCTGGTTTTCTTTTATGACAAGGGTCACAAAGTGCTTAGATGCAGGAGTAGAGGTGGATGTCATTTTCTTGGACTTTAGCAAGGGCTTTGATATGGTATCTCATCCTATTCTCATAAATAAATTAAGAGGCTATGACATAGATGTTTACAAGGTCCAGTGGGTGGCAAATTGGCTTAGTGGTCACACCCAGTGGTAGTAGACGGGTCAGTATCGACCTGGAAGAATGTGGGCAGTGGGGTCCCGCAGGGTTCAGTCCTTGGACCTGTACTCTTCAATATCTTCATCTGGGACTTGGATGTGCGTGTGAAGTGTACTCTGTCCAAGTTTGTGGATAATACTAAATTGTAGGGTGAAGTGCACACTCTGGAGGGTAGGGAATGATTGCAGGCAGATCTGGACAGGTTAGAAAAGAGGGCAGTACACAATAGGATGCAGTACAATAAGGACAGGTGCAGAGTGCTGCACATAGGGTGCAAAAATATCCAGCACATCTACTGGCTGGGAACTGACCCTCTCAGCAGCACAGAAGCAGAAAGGGATCTCAAAGTCATAGTGGACTCCAAGATGAACATGAGCTGTCAATGTGATGAAATCATCAGCAAAGCTAACTGCACTTTATCATGCATCAGCAGATGCATGAGAAATAGATAGAAGGAGGTGATACTTCCCCTCTATGAGGCATTGGTCAGACCGCAGTTGGAGTACTGGATCCAGTTTTGGGCGCCGTACTTCAAGAAGGATGTTGATAGACTTGAGAGGGTCCAGAGGAGGGCCACTTGTATGGTTAGAGGCTTACAGGACAAGCCCTATGAGGAGAGACTCAGGGACCTGGACCTCTTCAGCCTCTGCAAGAGAAGGCTGAGAGATGATCTTGTGGCCACCTACAAATTCATTAGGGGGATGCAGCAAGGGATCAGAGATGCTCTGTTTACCAGGTCACCTCTTGGAGGAAGAAGGAACAGTGGTCACAAACTTACAGATAGCAGATTTAGGTTAGATATCAGGAAAAACTTCTTCACAGTAAGGGTAGCCAAAATTTGGAATAGGCTTTTAAGGGAGGTGGTGCTGTCCCCTACCTTGGAGTCTTTAAGAGAAGGAGGGATAGGCATCTGGCTGGGGTCATCTGACCCCAGCACTCTTTCCTGCCTGGTCAGGGGGTCGTCGATGATCTGTTGAGGTCCCTTCTGACCCTAGCATCTATGAATCTATGAACACTAATTTTCTAAGATTCTACAATTGTCTTGAGTAATGTAAAGTTAAATGTTGTATATACTGCAAGCCAGATCTATCTGGCCAGGTATGGACAGTACACTTTTACCAGTAAAGTGATCGGAAACTGTCCTATATCTGGGGTGTGGCAGGCCAGTAGGGGGTACAAAGGAGAACTTTATTGGTTACAAGGAGTAGGTTTGGAATAGGGTACAGCAATGTCAGAGGAATCCCATATTGCAAACAGGGTGGCTGGGTAGCCTTTGATCATGCATCTGAGTTACTGCAAGCTATATTTCTAGTTAGATCTCAGGTAGCTTACTCATGAGTGTAATCCAGAGGCAGGTGGAGATTCCCTCTGGAGGCAGGCAGCTCACTGATCATGAGTTTCAAGAGAAGAGAGCAAGTTTCAGATGGTCCAGCTTCTCTCTTGAGTTTTTTCATCATGGCTATTGCCCCTCCTCCTGGGTAGTCCTTCACTTATGTAGCCCTTATGACCTCATTTACCTGGTCCAATGGAGGCCAGCAACTGTTGGCTGCCAGCCAATCAATTTGAAATGTATCACTGGTTGCTGGGTAGACTGGCAGGGTCTCTAGCACCCTCCCAGTCAGGTTGGCAATGCTTAGAATAGGGAGCTTAATCCCCCCCACCTAGGTACGTGATGCCAGTCACATAGAGGGAGCAGGTTTCCCCCTTCCCTCTGGAATGTATCCAGCTCAGGTTACAACTCAGAGTTACCTGGAGCCCATGGGATGTCTGCTGTCTGCAGTGACCATGGTCAGTTGTCACAGAGCAGGGTTTTTGGGGAGAGAGAGGTGGCATTCTGCCACCTGGGGTATCAATTATGGAGAAGCTTGAGGGGGCTGAGCTCCCCCCATACAAGAGTCCCCCTATAAGATTTGAAAATCATAACTTGGGGAGGTCTCCAATATTATTAGGGCATTCATAGAATCATAGAATCATAGAAGTAGGGTTGGAAGGGACCTTGTAGTTCTTCAAGTCCAATGCCCCGCCTGGCCGGGAGAAAAACTGGACTCAAATGAGTCCAGCCAGGTAGGCATCAAGCCTCTTCTTAAAGACCCCCAGGCATTGTGATGGGCAGTCCAATTTTTTTTTGCAGATCCACCCAAGACTCATAGTGTAATCTGAATCCTGTTTATGCCTATAAAGTTAGGGATAGAAGTTACACATAAACTGGTTTATGTGATCAGAAACTGGTTTAAACCTGTAACAGAATAGAAGTTCAGTGCACATAAACTAGTTTCAAAATGGCTGAAACTGGTTTACAATAAACCTGGCTGAATGTAGTATGAGACTTAACTGATTTGGGTCAAGCCAGTTTATGGAACTTCTGTCCCAGTCCCCTTCCTGGTTCAAGTTAAATCACAGTCCCCCAGCATGATTTCCAGCCCTGAGCTGGGCTGTACTGTTTGATCCTCTGCTCTCTGGCTGGATCAAGGAGGGCTGGCTGACAAGGAGGTGGTGGGCATAAGCCCAGCTGGGGATGCAGTCC